GTGACATATGTCTGTGATGTGCAGCGTGTGGAACGTAACAACTGATCGAGATGACGTGCGGCTGCTCGTCCTCTTCCGACGTGCCAAGTTTCCGTTCTGTTTCTTTACTGAACCAACAAACAAACAAACAAAAAAACAGTTGGGCAGCCAGCTGACCGGGTTCAGGTACTACCAAGGAGTGTCGGAAGTTATTTAGGCCGTTTCTTCATTTTCGTGGGCCAAAACTGTTTATTGCAAAGAATAATTCTGCCTAGGACGGCGAAGACGATACTCGCACGCTGCAGTGTTGCCGACCCTCTGAGGCCCAGTAGCATCTACGTAATCTACAAACTCAGTCCGTACCGCAAAGAAAACGAGTGTCTCCAATGCAGAGACGAATTGGTTGGAGTATTGCAGTTCTTTGAAGAAATAATCGCTGTTTGATTTGAGAATTTTATGAAACCCGCAAATACGCTGATAGTTGCCGATTTGTCAAAGCACGTGTTTGATACACGCGACGTTTCTGGAATTGGCTGTACTCCAGGTGACTGATTCTCGTTACAGCTTTATTAGTCTCCACCACTGGGATCGAACCAGGAACCTGTTAAATAGTCGGTCACGACGCTAACCATTGGCTCGTCCGTTTCCACTTTGCTTTTTCACGGTTTGTCGTCATCACCTCCGTAGGCCTCGCAGAATAATATTCATTTGTCCTTTCTGAGAGGTCACAAAGATCATATCAGGGCCTTGAAATTCAATTATGCGTAATGACAATTTTTCCGAACATTAAACGCTGATTTATTACTTTGGTAAAGAAGGAGTAAAATAGAATGTGAACTAGGTAATTAAGAGAAGTTCTACCGAGAGTCGGCGCGTGTCTTTGAAGATGTATTGAGAGCAGCCAGAATTCGTTTAATGTGTGTATTTATTTATTTATTAATTTAAAAGGCAAAGCCTCGACTCGCCCTCGTACATTCCGCTGTGGTACTAGACCAATGGTGTGCGATTTTGCACAAGAATGGTCCACGAGTCTTGATGTAATTTGAAAGTAATTCTGTGTTAATGCGTCAACTTCTGGGACAGTTCGCTGATAAGATGTAAGCAAGGGTAGGGCCGGTTATTAGTATTAAGACTCGTGAGGCTGCATCCTTCAGCCGTTCCTCTCACAAGGGTCGGAAAGTCAATGATTGCATCGCAGTGCTTAAGAGGAAAATACTGCCTCCATCTTCAGCCGCGAAGTTAGCAATCATATTTCCATCTAAAATGCGTAGAAAACGTGGCCGAGCGGTTCGGAGGACATCTGCGCGAGCGACGTTGCCGGGGCTGACGAAATGTGTTTTATTTTGTTGCCTTGGCCGGGGGACAGGCGAGGATAGGGCCCTCGCCGACTGGATGAATGATTCATGGAATTACTGATTCACTCGCTGACCAACTGACTGACAGTCTGCTACAATTTTCCTCTCTCCCGCTCTCTTTTAACTCCGTAGAATTTCATCGCGTTTTCGTGGTGGATGTGCTTGGTCTAGATTCTGGGAGTCATTTCGTCGAGCCTTGGGCTTGGTAGCCAGGGCGTTGCGTGGTCCCTGGGCGCCTCTCGAAACTCGCACTTTCACCTTCAGAGCCGCATCCAAACTTACAGGTCTGTTGAATGTGTTGCCTGACTCCCGGAGCTTCCACTAGCGAGCAAGACAATCCGACCAGGTCGTTAAACGTTCCTCTTCCATATTTAGACCGAGCTGTCTTGCAAGATGTCCGCCAGGCCGCTCTTCTCCCGCCCGCGGCGCGAGGTTAATCGGAGTCTTTCCCGTCCTTACAAAATTACAATGCAAAGGCATGATTGTCTTATCACGAGGATGATCCGGTTAACTTAGAAACGCACTCCGTGCGTTTAAGACGGCGATGCCGTACTGTGATCACGAGATGTGTTCCGCTTGTATTTAATGTGAATGTACCCCCGTGAGGCAAGTCTCAAAATACCACAGCGAGCTCAGAAAATAGTCTTGCCTCGCGACACACGAGCTGCGACGCTAAAATGGTCGTAAGTAACTTGGTTCGTTCCGAGTTTCAGCGAACACCGATGCAACCAGCGGTCAGTCATCACAAGTGAGAGCCGGAAGGTGAATTGCGGGTTGCAGAGTTTCACATTCCTCTGGGACTCTTGTCACGTGACGACTCTCCTATTCAGACTTGGCAAGTGATTGAACCATAACGATGCCGTTCAGTTAAGTGCCCGCCACTGGTCCCTGTCCTGAGCCAGATAAATCCAATACAGTCCACCCTCACGTCCTAGGCCTCTAATTCTTTCATCTGCCGATAGTTTTCCCATGCGTGCTGCATGCCCCGTCCGTCTTGTCCTCGAGGTGACGACCTAACCTAATATTTGATTTGCGGGGGAGGGGGAGACGTGCGGCAGAACTTCGACGGTCAGGGCTGCGAGAACTTTGGTTTTGGTCAGTGGGAACTCTTCGTGAAGTGGGGTGGAATCTTGACATTTCGCAGGAAAAGAAGTTCTTCAAGTCTCTTTGCTAGAATTAGCTGCACTTCCTGGGGCCATCCCGGTCTGTTGTTTGTTTACCCACAGTTCTCCATTCCTGGAAGCTGAGAAGTGTTTAATGAAATATTAGTTCACCCAGAGCTATTAAACTCGGTGCCGTTTCAGGCTTCGATCACAGGTCTTTCGGAATACATGGGCGAGGTCCGTGCATATGAAACTGTTTCTTTGTCGTTTAAATGGTTGGGTGTCTTCCTCTTCCTGCGCTGGGCGTTTCCGATCCATGCACAGAGAGAGAGAGAGAGCATCCATTCTGACTGCCCTAGTATGGCCGCAAGCCAAGTGGAACGCAAAGAGCTTCTTTCATCCATTTAGTAGGAGCCGCCGTAATCGGTTAACGAGGGAAGAAATGCGTACAGAGATGACTAGCCGAATTATCGCACACAGCATCGCGTTACCTGCCCAGCCATTTCGCCAAAATGTGACATCTGAGAATTGCCGTGGATGTTGCGATTGGAATTGGTCAGCGTAGTCTGAAAACTCTGTTCGTTGCGTTTTCATTGTCCTCTGTCTATGTGAGGGTCGTGGAAAGTTGCGTTGGTCCTTTGAATGTTTCCTCGCGTCTCGCTGCAGACACCTTAATTTGTCGATGTTAAGCACGAGATGTGTAGGTCTTGCTTAGGCCACATTTGCAGGGTTTGTAGACTGCTACCTACTCCAATTTGGCCTGGTGTACCCTTATACTGCCCCAGAATTAATTTAAAATGCCTTTAAACTGACTACAAGAAGTAGGATGAAAATAGCAGAGTATGTGCACATTCTCGCATTCACATTGTACACTTTTGGCAAGTGATTCGATGTGCTTCAAGCATTTGCGAGGGCTGTGGAACCCAATGTTACACCACAATAAATAATAATTTCACTATTTCGTGCCTGAAGGAGAAAACATTTTGTCAGCTGGTCAGTTACTAATCATACTTTGGCGCAATTAATATTGAGCAACTTATTTTACTAACTTAATTCAAAAGATATAATAAGAACACTTGATCTGCCACTGATTTCCAGGGAGGCAGCACGAGACCGGTCGTCAGAGTTGCAATCGCCAAGGCAAGCCCTGCGGTTAAAAGCCAAAGGCAGAATGTTCAGACATTTGCAACATATGAAGCAAAATTTTGGACTCTCGGTTTACAAAATTTTGTTGCAACAATATATACTTTAAGAATTAATCAGCTAATAAAAATTCTTAGAGGTTATAGTTACTGAACAGCTTCATACCTGCCATTAAAGTTGATTTGATTTCATTAGACCTCTTATATATAAAATTATATGATATAAAATTGAGTTTGCTTGAAATTTCTGTTTTGCAGTGCCATGCGGATTCTGCTCATGAAGCTGCCTCGACCGTGGATTGTGGATGAGAAGAAGGATGATGGCTACACAGCCCTCCACCTGGCGGCCCTCAACAACCATGTGGAGGTGGCAGAACTGCTCGTGCACCAGGGGCAGGCCAACATGGACCTGCAGAATGTGAACCTTCAAACTGCCCTTCACTTGGCAGTGGAGCGCCAGCACACGCAGATAGTGCGAGTAAGTGAGGCGTCCCAGTGTTTGAACTCTTGAGCCCTGGTGGTTCAGTACGTCAAATTGTCAAGGAAGAAGTTGAAACACAAATTTAAGAACTGAAATTGAAATTAACATGATCAGAGTTTTGGAAATAACATTTCGTTTCTGCCACAATGAATGGTTCTTTGCCATGTGCAGGTTGTCAGATGTTCGTACTATGGCAGCAATCGGCATTGTGTTCTATTGCAGCTACTGGTACGTGAGGGGTCAAATCTTAACATCCCAGATAAGGATGGAGACACTCCGCTGCATGAAGCACTGCGACACCACACTTTATCTCAGTTACGACAGCTGCAGGATGTGCAGGATGTTGGGAAGGTTCGTAACACAGTGTCTTTGAAACATGATTTTTAAGTTTTCTAAACTGCTGTAGGTGATATCAGTTGATATGATATTTAGCAAATCCGCATTTTTGTTCTGCGTTTACTAAAGTTCCTACTTTCATTGTTTTGGGCCTGAAAGTGAAGTACATCGTGTGTCAGTCTGTTAGACACTGATATTTCTGTATTAATTTCTCAGCTTGCGTGTTATTGAATGTCGGACTTGTTGCTTCTTGTCTGCAGTGGCACTCACGCAGTATTGCATGTTCTTTGCTGTTCATAATAGCTGAACTAGCTGTGTTGGTTGCAGTGTTTCATCGTCACATAGTAAATGTTGTTGTTACAGCTGTTAATGGGACTGGGCAGCCAGGGTGCGGACAAAAAGTCTTCAGCGTCAATTGCCTGCTTCTTAGCTGGGAACGGGGCTGATCTTGGCATCAAGAACAAGAAGGGGCAGACACCACTGGATCTGTGTCCTGACCCCAACCTGTGCAAGGCCCTTGCCAAATGTCACAAGGACAAAGACACGTGAGTGAACGACCTTGGAAATTTTGAAGTCGAAGGAATGTCCCAAAACAGAATTACTCCTCAGTATTGAACAGAACTTCCAAAGGCTTTATTTCCTATGTTTTGTGTTAGTTGTAGTTCTTAATATTAAAGTATAAATTAAAGCTATGTAATTTAGTGTGCCCTTTGGCACAATATCTTCATAGATATGACATTTACGTTTGTTCATCAAAAAAGTTTGAAGTTAAATAGGTTTCTTGTGACACGGCACTCAGAATTCTTCGATTCTACTGTCGCAAACAAGGTGATCAAGAACTTTTGCTCACTCAATTAGGCCTTCGTTTCAGTGACCAGATTGAGCCACGGCGGGCAGATGGCCCAGGTGGGGAAGATGGCGTTACACTAGATGAGTGCTTGGTGTGCTCTGATCTCAAGCGAGACACACTGTTCAAACCGTGCGGACATGTGGCTTGCTGTTCGGTATGTTCTCCCCGCGTCAAGAAGTGTCTAGTGTGCCGGGAACCTGTTGTGGGCAGAGTTAAGGTAATGTATGACTCATCAACCTGCAAATGTACTTTAATAAACTTTGTTTACGGATGGATATTGCAAACACAATGTAATACCAGAAGTGGGAAATGTATAACCCACAAAGAAATGAAAACCAGCCTGTAGTTTTCTAAAATTATTGTTAATTAGAAGGTCCTTTATCAGTCTTAAATCCGTCATACTCAGTATAAAATAAATATTGTAGTCACAAAAGTTAAAACCCGTTACTAATGCTGACGATTCTTCGCTGTGTCTCGGAACAAACAGAACGCCCGTCTTTTTAGCTACACTGCGCGTAGACTTTGTTACTTTGGAGAGCACTAATTCAGAAATGAAGATGTGATAGTAGTCGCTTCCCTCGGTGAGTAACAACTAATGAAGATGTGAGACTTCTAGATGATTTTCACGTACAGAAATAACACATCTTCACATTCGGATAGGAACTCAGGGCTGTTGTATGTTATAATGAACTTTGCCATAAGAAAGTAGGTGAAGCTACTTCACTGTGAAGTAATGTTCCAGCACTCAGAGACCTACCCCTGCCTTCATTTCCAGGGGTAGATGCGGAGTGACGTCAAGTACGGATGATACACGGCATATGTAGTTTGGTTGGTGTGAAAGGTTAGGAAGACAATAACTAAAGTGTGAAACATAAAAAATAGGACCGGAATTCAGATTTAGTAAAACTCAGCTTATCTCTTTGCGTTCAAACTCAAAATATGGCTCTTTTTCCTTAGATTGAAGAGTGTGTGGTGTGTTCTGATAAGAAGGCTTCAGTGCTCTTCAAACCTTGTGGACACATGTGTGCATGTGATGGCTGTGCTGCTCTCATGAAGAAATGTGTTCAGTGCCGTGCGCAGATTGATCACATGGTGCCTTTTGTGGTTTGCTGTGGTGGAATTGGGAACATATCAGATGTTCAGGCTGATAATGAGGAAGATATTGTTGGGCCCCTAGGTAAGATGTTGGACATCACATTTGTGTCTTATACTAGCGTACATGGCATCTGTGTTTTATTTTTCATGCATTGTTTATACAGTGTATGAGGCACTGTGAAAACCTAATCCCAGAGTTGATGTATCAGTACAAGCAAAATGATATAAAATGCAAGGGACATCTGACAAATAGATTAAATAATTTTAATATTTCTGACTGGAATGGGTTAAGATGTTGGTGATTACCATAAACCGGCCTCCATTAGATTGGGTACGGCCGAACTGCTCGATATGCCAGTATTCAATCGTTTGTTATGACGACTGACAGGTGGAGTTCCAGTAGAACCTGTATGTCTGACTGGTGCGCTGATGAACAACGGAAGTCGGGACACGTCCAACTCGGACATACAGAAATTGCAGCAGCAGCTGCAAGACATTAAGGAACAGACCATGTGCCCTGTATGTCTGGACCGGCTCAAGAACATGATCTTCCTCTGCGGACATGGCACGTGTCAGATGTGTGGTGACCGCATGTCTGAGTGTCCCATCTGTCGCAAGCAGGTTGAAAAACGCATTCTCCTCTACTGAGGAATGCTTGTGTCCAGGTCTCTGGTAGACAGGCTGGCTCTCTTCCGCAGCTGACGCACATGTACGTTGCTTCCCTGCTTCAGTCTCCCAGCCTGTTCAATTTGGAACGTCAATCCAGGCCACAGTCCTCTTAATACACGTGTATATTTTGGAATGGATTATTCTGTTTGGGTAAGAATAACACGTATTTTATTCATGTTCTGTCATTATGTTTGTGAAGAGGAAACATTGAATTATTAAAAGTAGATTGGGTTCTGTACTGTCATAATACTTGCCAGATATAATTAATGCGTTCTGTAGTCATTTATCATAGTACATTTGTCAGCAGTATATAATGAATTTCTGAATAACATGCTCTTGTTATTCTTTGTTACTTTCATAATTAAATATGTTTTGTGGTTTTTTATTTCCTGAAATGAATCAATTATTGAGTCAAGATATTGTTATAAAGAAGCTCACGGACGGACTGTGGATGTCAGGTACTTTGGGCTTAGCAATTTGATGGAAGTTTGTATGGCAAATGAAATAGGTCTGCGTAATAAGTACGTTTATTCTAGTACCACAAATCCCTGAAGGTCACAGTTACTTCTAGAAGGCAAAAAGAAAAGATTGTTGTTTCATGCTGGCTCGGGTACTAGTTCACTTTATTAGTTTTTTGTATGGCATTATGGAATTTCTGCTTCGCTTATAAATGATATAAAGAATACAGTTTTCTGTTATGTCATAAGTATGAAGCCATGAAGGTGTGTAGGGGGAGGTGGAGGTAGATCCACACAATCTGGAGCTGGAGATGAGCAATGCTCTTATGCTCTGACTGGTAAATCTGCGTTGTGCAGAAGAAGAGTGAATGTAAATTTATAATTGTGTTGTTATTCTGTATCATATCGTGCAAAAAGATATAAAAGATGAAATATGATATAGAAATACACACACACACACATGCACATTTATTCATATACATGTGTGAAATGCATATAAAATTCTATACCCTTTTTAACTATAGTTCTTAATATAAGATACACTTGTTTGTGTTTGAATGTATAATGTAGCTGCTGTTGTTTACAGGCGCAGGTAGTTGACTCGATTTATACGAGCATCTTGGTTTGTTCTATGTCGGTAAATATAATCTTATTTTATTATAGATCTATGTCAATTTACATTACATCAGATTTTGCCATCTTTAAATTTACAATAAGATTTTGCTTTTAATATTAACTTACAATTAAATGAGCCTTCAAAATAATGGAGTTGAGCTTCATGCATATGGCCTATAAATATTTTTAAAGATGTTATCAAAACTAATGGATGGTTGTGGTTTATCGCTCTTTATTGAGCCGTTTCATATGTTTGCTTTTATATTGTTTCTTTTCGCCATCTTCATGATCTTCCTCGTACTGCGTGTCATTGGAATGGTATGTATTTGCTTATATCAGCGTGCCTGGTTCCTGCTTTGCTGAGCACGTCATTGGGACAGCAAAGAACTATTTTTGACATCATATCTTGCATATTCTATTTCCATATCTAAAGATGTGTACCTTGTTTCCATACGTTTTAGCATTATTAGTGGAAATCTGTTTATTACTGGTTTACAAATAAATGTAATGAGAGCTGTTGGAATCTGAATAAAAAAGAATATTTGTATGAAGTGCTACATGGTGCAAAGGACTCAAAGTATTATACCTGTATGAACCATGCATTGCGGACTGCACAATCCAGTGTGAGACTCCTTGGTCAGTTTTGTGACTAAACCCAAATTGTCTATGAATTTTTATCATGTATTAATTAATTGTGGTTCCTCTTTCCCCCCAAAACACTGTCAAAATGTGTGAAATGCATAGTGTATGTTGTATGACTGCATTATTTGTACAAATAACTCTTAATCAGTTAAAACTTCCTTTTTAATGGCCGACTATAGAGACATTTGGTTGGTGGCAAATACGCCACATTATATTTTGCTGCTCCAGTGTGCATGTATTGAGAATTTGTGTCACAAAGTTTGTTTTTATTTATTCTTTATGCTCGGTAAGAAGGGTGTGGTATGAAACTGTAACTGTGAACTGAAATAAGGAAATAATTTTGGGCCATCAGCTGTGTCAAATGGTTCCTGAAGTGTCACCACGTCTTTACCATTTGGCATGGCCGATTGCCTGAGAGGATTTCATGAATCCAGTAAGAAGGGTTTAAAGTTACCCAGTGTGTTTTTACTTATGCCCTTTGTACCAAGCGCTAAGGAATTATGACTTATATTGAGATGGATATGTGATGAGATGCAAAAGGTTTTTAGAATTATGTGACTGGAGGTAAGAGTTTTACTTTGTTTGTTATTTTTACATTAGTCTTATGAGTTGCTTGTAGGATCAATTTATTGTAAAGTAATAAAGTATAGTGTAGTGTACATTTATTATTCATGTTTCCAGGATTTAATTTGAAGCAGGAGGTGGAAGCTGAAATCAAGAAAAACAAATTTATTTGCCATGATGTTCACTCATGTACCAGTATTTGTAGGGACCCAGGTGTAGCTTAAAGGGTTTGGGCCCTGAGTACAGTCTCATGTCACGCCCTCTCCTCTGCACGTTCCCACAAGTTTGTTAACCAATAATTTAAATTTCAAAACCATTTAATGAACTTCAATTCACGTTACAATACATTAGTTTCTATTGTCTCTCCCTCCCTTTTAATTTTATTTAACTTTCTCAGATTGCTTTAAACCCTTTGACTAAGTAATAGAGGATGTGCCAGTTGATGGAAGAGACATAAATGCCTACAATTCAACCTGTTCATGAAGAAAATTCGATTTCGACTCTTTGGTCCGGCTGCGAATGTTGGTGATTCTTATAGCCGAGTGAGCTGTCTATGTCGGACACTTGTTTCTAATGTAAGATGCTGGGATGTAGATGGCAATAACGTCGTTTCGTACTTTGAAGTTCTATCCGTGAGGCTTTCCATGGGTTGCAAGGTTCAAAACTAATCCACGTGTTTTTAAACATAAATGTATATCACATTTCATATTGATTTAGGTGAGTTTTAACTAGTTTTAGTAGCTGTAAAATAAAATATTGGCACAAATGTGTTCTGTAAATGTAGACGTAGCAACTATTGTGTCGACTCTGGTGGGTAAGTGTGTTTAAGCAATCCGACACTAAGCATTAAGTAATACCTGGAGGTGTAGAAATCCTGGTGCATAATAGTGCATCTGCACCTTACTTCTATAGCCCTGATTCCCAGGATAGCATAATCTTGAAACCAGGATCGTTAAGAGAGGATTCCACTTGACATAACCCTACTTTTTCTGTTCGGGGGTTAACAGAACGTCCTTATACGTTAGTGTGGGAGCCATTGAATTGGGTAAGTTGTCATGGAAAAAATGGAATAGACTTTCGTTTCAAACCAGCATATAGACATTGCCAATGTAAGTTTGTGTGTTTAACTGAAATGAGCAATATGTTGGAGTGGATGTGGAATTTAATGTAATTTGTTGTAATTAAATTGCAATAAAAGTTTAACACTTTGAATAGTGCTTGCATATGGTGACAATGTGGTGATATTTCTGTGTATGTTATATTATTTACAGTTGAAGAAGAAAACATCTTTCATTATGAGTACTTCTTTGGCAGAACAGCTGAAGAAGCTAGCAGTACCACAGACTTCTCTTCTGATTCAGGGCAAAACAAGACCTTCGCTGTTATTTGATCCTAGAGAGGCAGCTAAGTTTGATAGGGAAACCATTTATGAAATAGGTATTAATGTGCTGTTTAAAAATCTTAGCATCATTATGTGGAAATTGGGCTTTGTTCTTAATTATAACATTCTAAGCAGTTGGGGCAAACAGCAGCCAAATAGAGGGGGAAATGGAACAAATAAATGACGGTACATAGCTGCCATTCTGAGCTGAGTCTGATAGGCAGTGAATTCCTAACCTGTTTACCTCTTTGATCCTTCATTAAAAAAGTGAGCAACATGAAGCTGACATAGAACACGTGATGCTTACGATTTTCATGAGATCTTTTACTGTTGTCAGTCTGCTATTTTAGGCATTTGTGTGGCTTTAAGATATACCAAAGAATTCATAGGACTTGCAAAACACTTTTAGTCTTTTACAGGGAATTACAGCGCAGCAATTTAGTAAGAAGTTATTTTTTAATATAAAACAGCATTCTGTTTCTTTTGATAACTAGAAATAATCGCTTATCTTATTTGATACCAGCATGTATGTAGGACACTTCACAAGTTAAGCCATTTTGTATGTGGTCATATTCTTCTGCAACTTTACTTTGCAGAGAGCGGATACTAATGCGATTTCTTGGCTATATATCTCAATAAGGCAGTGATACAAGTCAAGAATGAATGAGCAGAGACTGTATCATGAATCAAAATTTTCTTTTGTTTTGGCCTCATCTGTCCAAGTAGCAAGATTTAAGATCTGACATTTTCAAGTTGTTTGCTAGATTCATACAAACGTTATTTCCCTGTGAGACACTAAACACTGTTCCAGTTCGCTGTTTGCTGCTGAATAGTAACTAATGATTGTGTATTTATATGAAATAAGGTGTAACCTGCTTGAAAGCTTCAGAAACTTTTGATACAGAAGCAGATACCAGCACATCCATGTTGAAACATGTGATTCCTTCGTTTATGTGTATGATTCTCAAAATTTACCTATGGATTTTCTTTGCAGGTGTTAGTGGTCTTGACGAGCTGGTAAAATTGAATCCGAGGTTTGAGGAGTTTTATAGAAATTTATTTGATCTGTCATCTCGGTCCTTTGAGAGAGCAGTGGAAGACAAGAAGGCTAACAAAATTCTGAATAAACTCATTCGTAGATTTTTACTCTTACTGTCACCATATTTTCTTCTTAAAGCATCACATAAAGCATTGGAATGGCTGGTGAACAGGTAATTCTTTCTGTCACTTATTGCTCCTTTGTGTAACTTTGCCAGACGTGTGGCGTGTTAATGCCGTTTATGGGTATTTGGTTTGTGGATTGTATTTCAGCTCATTTTATTTGTGAATGTCTTAAATTATGAATAACCTTGATATTGTATATGTAATTACATGAGAAATTTTACTAGTAATTAACCTTAAAATTGTGTTTTGAAGTAGAACATTTGTAATGGTAGAGAGTGAATATTCGTATTCACTAATTTGGAAGTTTGCAAACATATTTAACAAACTTCATACACTTTACCTGATTTTCTTTGCAGGTGTTAGTGGTCTTGACGAGCTGGTAAAATTGAATCCGAGGTTTGAGGAGTTTTATAGAAATTTATTTGATCTGTCATCTCGGTCCTTTGAGAGAGCAGTGGAAGACAAGAAGGCTAACAAAATTCTGAATAAACTCATTCGTAGATTTTTACTCTTACTGTCACCATATTTTCTTCTTAAAGCATCACATAAAGCATTGGAATGGCTGGTGAACAGGTAATTCTTTCTGTCACTTATTGCTCCTTTGTGTAACTTTGCCAGACGTGTGGCGTGTTAATGCCGTTTATGGGTATTTGGTTTGTGGATTGTATTTCAGCTCATTTTATTTGTGAATGTCTTAAATTATGAATAACCTTGATATTGTATATGTAATTACATGAGAAATTTTACTAGTAATTAACCTTAAAATTGTGTGTGTAACTCTGCCAGACGTGTGGTGTGTTAATGCCGTTTCTTTATGGGTATTTGGTTTGTGGATTGTATTTCAGCTCATTTTATTTGTGAATGTCTTAAATTATGAATAACCTTGATATTGTATATGTAATTACATGAGAAATTTTACTAGTAATTAACCTTAAAATTGTGTTTTGAAGTAGAACATTTGTAATGGTAGAGAGTGAATATTCGTATTCACTAATTTGGAAGTTTGCAAACATATTTAACAAACTTCATACACTTTACCTTGGGTTTCTGCAAGGAAAGGTTTTCTCTAACATTTTTATTACTGCAACACCACGGCTTCAGACCTTCCCGAAGCTTGTGTAAAAAACTCGGTATACCATTTTCTCAGACCACTCCTCCAGAATTTTATAACACACCGATGCCATTTTCTGTGGGATCCTTAGATTGTGAATGCTTTTACACGTTTTTAAATATAAAGTAATTTGTGTTGAAATCATGAAATAAGAACAATGCAAGTAGTCAGTGTGAAATGTTGATTTTTCTGTGTTTCTTTTAAAAACCTAAAAACAAATTTGCAAACGTGAGCTATGACTGAAATTTGGTACTCATGTATTAGACTGGTTTTTATTGTCTTATGAAAAAAAATTATGTACTTTGTTTTAGGTTTCACATTGAATCATTCAACGTTGATGACTTAATGAGCCTGATACTCCCCTATCATGGTACACGCATATTTGTGCGTGTACTACAGATGATTGATGTATCAGATGCCAGCAACAGATGGCACTGGCTGCACCCTTTGCAAGGTCCTGGTGTTCCGTTGTCAAAAACTGCACTACTCAATCGATGTGCAACTGATGCATCTTTCCTTCACTTTGTTTGCAAGATGACTTCAGATACCATCAAGGAATACAGTTCGTATAATTTAAATTTATCGTTTAGTATTTAAGTCATTAATTGTGAGTGTGCCATAACTTCAGCCATTTCAGTATTAAATCTTTTTGTGAACTGTGATACTGCAGAGAGAGAGTTTTTTTAAGGACTTCAGAATTCTTATGTTGGACTGTACTTTCTAATTTGATTATATTGCAGGATATGACGACATTAGTGGTGAGTTTTGTACAGATGAACATACATCCAGACTCCACACAGTGTACGGAGTGACAGGTTTTTTTTTCTTCGTTGTTTGCAGAGAATCGGAGTGAAGCACTTTCCACTCTCTTGGCTTTCCACTGTACCACGATAGTCGGAGGACTTGAACATGTGAACCGAGTGAACGAACTTCAGATGACACACATACTGAAGTCCCTGCTTGAAGGCTTGACGTCACCCATACTGGATTATGTAGCGGGTTCTTACACAATTGTCGCGCAGCTAACACGCCGCACCCAGCTGTCACGCCACATATTCTGTGGGATTGTTCACAAGATTGCTGAGGTATGTATTCTCAACATTAATTCTGCAGACAATATTATATGAGTGGAAGCTATTCAGGAAAAGTTGTCTTGTTCGTGGGTACGAACTTACCGTATTTCACGCATTAAACGTAATTTTGATGAGAACCGTTCTGCGTGTTGTGCAGTGCAGCCAACCTAAGCTTCGGTCACAGTGTGTGCTCCTGTTGGTGCTGCTGTACCAGACTCGGTGCTCCGAGCAGTTGCCGTCCGTGTCGCCGCGCACCGTGGAACGCCTGGCACACCACCGTTGGTTCCCAGTCATTCTAGGAGAGTTACGGGATGCTGGCATACATATTACGCCGTTTGTCGTGCCTCTCCTTCGCGGCGCTCTGTCAGCTGTTCAGTCCAAAGCAGATGACAGGACAGATCTGTGCAACTTTGCTGAGCAGCTGGTCGAGAAGGTCTCGGACGAGAACATGGCTGAGCTTCTGATTCAGTAAGTTTTGAAATTTGAATATCAAAATTGCTCTTGTTGGTATGTATTACATTTAAGTCACATTTCATTTTACAGGAACTGAATGTTTCTGTTGTTTTCTTGGGGTCCACCCAGACGGTAATGGCAGAAACTGTAACTAAAGATAATTTGTTCACAGTAGAAACTTATTCTTTGGTCTCCCTGAGGCTGTTTGAGGGCAGGGCACTTATGAAAATATCTGAACCTAAAGGAGCGGACATAAGGAACTTTGCAGTTAATGTCTAAATTTTTTGTGTTTTCATTTCATAATAAATGACCATTAAATGGATTGTTGAAGTATAACATAGTTTTTGTAATAATTATGTAATATTATATTATTGTAATAACTGGATTTTAAATTTAGATGTTGATTGCTGTTATTTCATAGAACCACCATAGAAACTTTTGATGTGGACGGCCTTACTGCATCCGGGATAGGAAACTCGGAAGATGATAAAAATGTTGAGATTGGAATTGATGATGCAGAAGAGGTGATTTCTTGGTATGCTGGTTTCCTGAAGTCTCTGGAGCGCCAGCATGCGAAGTCATATGATGCTGTGATTCGCAAGGCTCTGAGTAACAACAGCGATTCATCAAAACAGGCAAAGGCAGCGAGAACTCTGCTGGGCGTGACGAGGGGAGGCGCCGTTCCTCTTGGTGGCACAGATTTGTTTGAAAGAATTCATCACCCTAGCGCTTCAGTAAGAGCAGAAGCTGTTCAGTATTTAGTTACAAACCACAGTTCTCTGCAGGAACGCTACAGGGATCTGACCTGTACTGCGTTGACAGCCAGACTGAGGGATGATAGCGCAAAGGTAAGAGATGCGCCACAGTGAAGTCTGTCCAGTCAATTAATTTAGAATTTTCATATTCTTTGTGACTAAACTGTCAATTGACATTTTCATGGAACTTTGTACTCACATCATGATCACATATTTTGTTACCTGTTGTTGTTAGACGTTTGAATTAGGTGAGAAAGAATGAGTGTGAGACGAAGAGCGATTTGAACATGGAGTGGGGCTCAGAATTGCTTTGTACGATACAAACATTTTTCATGATGGCAGGTTGTGAGAACGTCGCTTGCTTTTTCTACGGACACACTGGTCGATTTGCTGGGAGCCGAAGCGGCGCTAGACGAGCTGATATCATTGACCGTGCAGTATTTTGACAAGTCTGGCAAGGACTGTTCGGATGTCATCCTCCTGCTGGTGAAGCACTTGTGCTCCGATTTGCTTCAAGCTGACTCGGCACTCGCCGAGACCCGCATCCTGCTAACGTTGCTTCCACTTCTTATGCCTGTGAAGGAGAGGGAAGTAGACACCATGATAACACTCATAAAACAAAATTCCTTCAACAACAAATGCAATTTTTTGTCCGCGTTGATAAAGGGTGAGCTGCTTTGTCAATTAAAATTGAATTCTGAGTGAACTGTCTGTACCCGTTGGTCGTATGCCCACCATTGTTCATTTCTTATTACAAGTACAGGGAATACATTTGTATGCATAACAAGTTTTTTGTGTTTTAAGAAGTTAAAAACTCAGGCTACCAACATACTCCATACACAGTTGTAATAAGCTGTCAGCATGTAACATCAGAACCTGGAAAAGTGATGATAAATAAACATAGAATCATTAATATTTTGGTTATAATAACGGATTGAAACTGACAATTGTGTTGTTTAATGATGTACTTTCATTAATTGTCAGAATAATTCTGGTATAATTTATATCAAGAACAAATGATTGCTTCCAGCTACAAGGTTGTGGAGCGTAGTGGTTACTTGCGCGGGGAAATGTACAGTGAAGTCGCTTTATATCCCTGAACTTTTTAATTAAAATATGTATATTAAAAATATGTTAGACTGCATTTAATTAAAAGGTAAGCAAAAGCCACACTGTTCAACTATTCACTGTGATTGTTTTGTAATACCTGAGAATTAATGTGGCAAAATTTAAGTATTATGGTTACTGATCATTACCATGTCTCGAGTGGTAATGACAAGTGATGATGCTTATGTTTGTATAATTTTATTAGCATTTTAAAAATCTGAGTACCTTCAGTTATTTTTTGTTTGTTTGTTTCTTTGTTTGTTACAGAATTAAGTACTGCAGGCTCCGCAGGCATGATTACAAATGTCTGCTCTGCATTTCTCACCTGCCTGTCTGAAAACAGGGAGCTTCTTCCAGATGTTGAACTTCTGTTAGAAGCTGCTGAGAAGTTTTATCCAGCCAACAGGAAACCTGTTCATATATTTTTGCTGCTCCTGTTGCTAGTTCCGTCTGCTTGTAAGAAACCCACGATAGCCGTCAGCCAGCAGATACTGGATGTGGCTGTGTCATATGTTAACAAATATCAGGTGCGGACGTATCACTGTTCTCGCTGTTGTCTGCTTTCCTTCAGTATCTGTAGTCATTAATATTGCTCTAGAAATAATTTCTGTCTTTTATCAGAACTGTCGAAGGAAGTAGCAGTATGACTGTGGTAAGTTACCATTGGGCATGCCCGTAGTCTTTCCTTTAAAATTTGATGTTTTGGAGACTATCTTCACGTCTGTCTGGTGGTGAAGAGTAGCTTCGTTAATGGGATGTTACATAGTATGCGTATCCTCGTTGCTATACTTTAGGATGGAGCCGGAGCCAGAGCCAGTCTCCAAGCTGACGAGTTTCAAATTCTGAATGTATAATTCCAAAAGAGAATACCCTAACAACATCATAGTTGATTTAAAGTAATAATGGTGTTGGACCTGAATAATTTGTGTTTTATTTCTGTATGTGGTGCAGTATAAAATTATTTTGTGCACCCCTGTGTGTAACTGTCGGAATAGAAGATAAATTACTGGAACTGCGTGCTTTTATTATAAGTTCGAGTATCTTGTGCTCCTGCTGGTTTTTGCTACAGCCTCAGAAGCCGGAATCGCCTTCCTCTCGTGTTGCAGTATCTGATACAGAATGTCTACATTTTAGGTGGCAAGGGTGAAAGGTAATGTGGCACTAATGGATGGCAGTGTGATGGCTAATTGCATAACAGCCGCACGTGCCGGTCGTTTTCCACTGCTGGCCTTCTTGTACTCTGTGCTGCAACTGGTCCGACACTCGCCATTTGCCAGTTTAATCAAGTCTGAACATGGGGGTTGGTGGGACCTGGATCATTGCATCGAGACAAGGAAAGACGGCGACCTGGCACTCAGTTTTGCTGTCAGAGTGGTGGAGATTTTAATCACTGGGTGTGGAGTTGGTCACAAACATATCCGCATGCAGTACGCCATGTGCCTCAAGGAGTTCTTCCAGGTAGCTATATTTTTGTATTCCTAACTTGCTTGACTTTTTTGGACGATTTTGAAGAGGGTAATATTCTATGTGATTTGACGCAGGATGCCATGTTGATCGTCCAGCATGAATTTTGCAGAATTCTGGTTACCTATGTAAAATGTTCTTTTCTCTAATTGCAGGAAACTTGTTCATTATTGTTTGTCATTTAATGAGCCAGTAATTGTCTGCAAGATTTTAATATCTACTTGCAGTTTTGTGAACTTGACACTTAGTAGTGGTATTGCTAGCGTAGAACTATCCATAATTGCCAGTTTTACCGCAGAAACAATATAGAATACAACACTTTTGTTGGTAAACCTCTTGGAAAATAGCTACTTCAGATATGATGAAGGATGTGAGAGGATAACATTAGGATTTACTTTAGAAAATTTAATGTTACTCATTTAGTGGTCAGTTTCAGTGATATGAAGTCAACAATCTGTTGAATTTCCTCCATTTAAGATGTTCATTTTTGTTGTTTCTTAAAGAAATGTTATATGAGGATTTTACCGTATTGAATTTTGAACCAGGTTGTTTTTTCTGTTTAGGTGTATTTCCCAGCCATGGCTTCACAGGTGAAGTTTCTGTGCAATATTGTTGCGTATCATGGAGGTGAACATGTGGCAGTTGACTGGGCTGAACTGAGGTTGCGCTGCCTGCGTCTTGTGGCCGCTCTCTTAAAACAGTCTGATGATTCCATCAGCTGGGCTCTGCACCTTGAGGAACCAATTGTTCCAGCTTTAATGGTTGCAGCAGCATCCCCTGTCACGCCTATACGTCACGTCGCTCTGGACTGCTTGTCCGTATTGTCATCCTCTATGGGTGCTGGTCTGGATTCTCATACCTACTTACCATTGCTGGAGGGAGTAAAGGACAGGCGCGAAGAGATTATGCTAGATGCGGAGTACGTATGTATTTGTAATGAGAGAGTGTGCTATAGTGTCCTGAGTCTTACACTCTGGGCATCGCCTGTGCTCTTGACACTCGGCAAAATTATGTGCCTCGTCTGATTGTGTGCTGCTTGAGGTATCCAAACACATTAAAATATAAATCTGTGACTTATTTACGCAAGATCTGGTTCTTCCTTGCTGCTCATTTTCGGATTTCGCATAACACATAATAAAAACCTACATTCCACAAACCACTTAAAGAAATTGTTTCATAGGTAAGAATCCACACTTCAAAAATACCTTCTGGCAGCAGGGGGCATGCTTACAGACACTGGCTGATTTAATTCTACATTTTATTGCATTGTATTGAGAATTCTAAGGACAGGTAACCATTAACGGTTAGCCATTTTTGGTCTGTTTTTATGAACAAAATGTATATATGTGACAGTTATGCTGAAGCACATGACTAAAAAGTTGCAAATGTTTTCTTTCATTTGCAGTCAGCTCTCACTGGTGATGTACACACTGCTATCCCCAGATCCTGCAGTCCAGAGCCTTTTGAAACCATCGCAACAACCGCAGCTAGCTGCTGCATTGAATGCTCTGCTGACCGGTATTACCTCGACCGAGACACCGTTGTATGTCGCTGTGGGACTTCTGGATTTGCTGGTTGCTGTCAACTCACAGGTTTCCACAGATTTACTCTTCAGAGAAGGCACTCGTTACACAAAATTATTAGCAGTTTATAGAAAAGTGTCGCCTTGTTCCAATCTCATTTTTGTGGCATAGATGGTTTTTTAAACACACAAATTAATTACTAAGTCACAGCTTAAAAGTCCATATTCTTTCTTAATTTCTCTCTTATTTAGTTGCATTACGTGATTTATCTTTTGCTAGGAAATTTTCTGTCGACTTCTTCCTCTTGGACGTCGCGTTCTGTCCGGAGGCCAAGAGTCAGACGGGCGGTTGGATTCTGATTCATCGGCCGTCTTCCGTAACATTGTTCAAAGGCTGACGTGTGGCACGGCTGCCTGTTTGGAACGTTCAGACTGTTGGGAGTTTGTGCAAACTGCTATCAGGGATTGGAAGACAGTGTTGCAGGATGCAGGTGGGAAGACTTGCCCTGCTATTCTGATGATGCAGCAGGTAAGATTAAAAGAACTTGCTTTCTGATACTGTTGTCTTAAGATCTTATATTTTCTCTTTCTTATGGACATTTTGATTTCTGCAGCTTGTATTTTTATGGTTCTGTATCAGCCTTGTCATGCCATTTTATTAAAGAATAGGGTATAGTTTTTTATTAAAAACATAAAAAATGCTTAGAGAGATCTAACAATTTCTGGAAAGTGACTGCTCATGTGTGTGAATGTACACATTAAAGAACTTAGATCTTTTGCTAGAGGCAGCTGGTTCCTCCAAAACCTTTTGCTTTTCTCTTTCCAGCTCTTCAAATTGTGCTGTATGGTTTTGTTATATTTCTCTCCTACCTTCATTATTTTGGCATCCCATCATAGATTGTAAGGCCATTCTACTTTTTATGCTCAGATCTCGCGCGAACTGTTTGAGGCATTGGACGAGTCGCTTCAGCAGCAGTTACTGTCCCAGTTAGTGTTTGCTGCAAGTGATTCTGAGCTACCAGAAGTGGCATCGGCGGCAGGACGAGTTGCGAAGAAGATTGTCCTCGATTCCAAATTAGTTGCAGAACAACTGCAGAAAATGAACAGTGCTGAAGTTATACAGCGACCAAATTCTACACCAGGCGGAATGGTTTTTCGTTCCAGAAGGTGAGTTTTCGTCATCTGTAGCATGTTGAGTTTTACGTGTATAGAAATGGTTTGTCTTTCCTTTGGCGTTGCCATGATGCTTTATCAAACATACGTATTCAAACAGAACAACAAGAAGATGTGCATTGGATAGATTAAATCATAATAATAGCTAACTTGAAAGTAATTGCACGTTGAAAGCCGAAATGTGCTTGTAATCTGTGACTAACTTGTCGGAGTAGCCAACAGTTGATAGAAAAAGGTTGACAGTCGCTAAAATGCTGTTTAAAACCTGGCATATTTGAATGACGTGCACGACTTTATGATTGTATATCTGTTACTTGTTTTCAGATGTTTTTACTAACTGAAGAACTCTCAGAATAAACCAAAGCATGCCATTTTTGAATTATCATTAGTACACATGCACTTAATTTAAGGAAAATGTCCGTATATGATGTTATTATAAGAGAAATTTTGTTTTTGTATATGTTTGTGCTACTGAGTTCAAGGTAATGCACAATAATTCAGTTTTCAGTCTTTAATGTAATGAGGAGTTCAGTTTGTTTTGCATCAGGCAGCTTATCTCAGTGCTTTGGTTTACAACACAGGAATGTAAACCAAGCACCGTCACCTGAACTGCTTGAAACGGAAGAGTGGCGTCACGGCGTCACTTTGCTTGAGTGGGTGCAGTCCAAGAAAAAGTTGCAGTCAACTCGTCTGTTGCTGGCACCACTGTTTTCTATACTCAACAAGTGAGTGTAAACTGTGACCAATAATGTGTGAAGTTGATGTTAGCAGCTGCAGTAAACCCTTTTTCAGTGCTGGGGTCAGGTTACGTTCTTCGAGGATGATGCGTCAAGTAAACATGCATTTGACATACTCTAATTTTGTGGCTTAAATCAGGGTTGCGTAGTCTCATTAGTATGCAGATATGTAGCCCTTTTACACACACGAATGGCATAACCTCTCTCTGTATGAGATAGGAACGTAATAAAACCATTAACATTGTGACATTAATGTAATTTAAATAAAAATGTATTGAATTTGATTTTTTGAGTAATAGAACTCTGCGTGGTTCACAGAATAACAGATAGAATTACAGTTCTTGTATTTTAATCCTTACAGATAGTAGATGATGACTACAATATTTTAAATGTTAAGAATGAAAAGCAACATTTTTGTCGATAGAGTGGGAAGAAAAAGTTCTAACTAAACTGACGTTTTCATCCGCACACTTGTATGTTGAGACGGACATCAGATACAGCCAGTGTATTTGTATCCAGGTGTTTGCAGTTTGATGATCAGCCCCCAGTGGAATACTCCAAACAGCTGGTACTCTCCTGTCTGCTCCACTGCTGTAAGAAACTCTCGCCAGATATCACCCCTGTCGACACATTGAACCAAGTTGTCAATGTGGAGGCTGTGGTACAGTGCATCCGTGCCTCTCAGAACCCACAGACTCATCATCATGCATTACTCCTGTTGGCTCACATCGCTGGCATGTTGCCTGTAAGTTTGTAGTTTTGTAGTTATCTCGTAACTAACGTAATGTACAGTCACGTGCACGCAGTAAGTAGGCACATTGTGGATTAATTAAGTACATATACCACACCAGTTCCTGATATTCACAAAGCATGAATCTGGTGCAGTAATTGAATGCATTTGTGTATAATGAAACTTGTATTATTTCTGTTTTTCTCAACAGGAGCAAGTGTTGCACAATATTATGGCCATTTTCACATTTATGGGATCGTCTATTCTACGTCAAGATGATGCATACAGTTTTCAGGTTATATCCAAGATTGTGGACACCATAATTCCCATACTTGTTAAGGTGCGTATTGTGGCGTCACTCTGAGAAAGGTGGGGCTCCGCGTGGGTCATAATTTTACGAGTTTACCTTCCAAGCCAGAGCCTAATATTATCCTCGTTATATTATTCGCACGAGTGAAACCCTGAGATTTATCCTAGCCATCTTTCCTACTCCATGGGGCAAATTAGATTTTATTATCTTGCGTGTCTGGGCAGAAGCCAGACTGTGGTGTGGATGGTTCATGTGATCATTTTGTTCTCGTAGTGATGCTTTTGTGTGGTACAATATAGTTCAAAATGGTGTTAGTTGTGCCCCTAGACTTGTGTATCAGTCTTGTTACCTTAAGCAGCGTTGTCAAGGAGAAGAAGTGTTATTCTAATGATATTCATCTTCCTGTTCTTCGGAACACAACGTATGAATTTCCCGCTCACGTGCATTATAGGATGACATGTTAAATCCAGACACGGGCATTTGGGATCACACCATAGGCTTGCATTTGAGTTGCTGAGCAAGTGTTCAGTGCACTTGGTGATACTTGTCTTTTGTTCTTGGCTTGTTTTCAGGCAAGTGAAGGCGTGGTGGAGAACAGTGCAGATGTGGACAGCGCTGTGTGCTCAGTTCTGCGTGTGTTTGCGGACACCGTGCTGGATATCCCGGAGCACAGGCGACTCCTTCTGTTTTGTAAGATTCTCACTACCCTCGGTCCAGAGCGTTCTCTGTGGTTGTTCCTGTGCTTGGTGTTGGAGGAACACGTGACTCGCGGCCAACAAGAGTCGACGCCCGCAGGCAGAAAGGATCGGGCAGAGCTGCCTCAGAGACTGGAATTTGCTCTCAATCTCGCCAGAAGTTTCACGCCGTTCACTGTCATTGTCACATGTATAAAAATGGTGAAATATATTCGGTCTCTACCTGTAGAAAAAGGTAAAATTATTTAAAGTTATGCTCTTTTGTAATTGAATGAAGGTTTTCTCTGGAGTCTGTCCTCTCATAATCCAAATTTGATATCTCAGTTCAGTCTTTTCCTCTGCTGACTTAACACTCTGTTTTGCAGACGAATCCAACAAGCTCGGCAGTCTGCAGAAATCAACGTCATCAACATTGGCCCTCAAGTTAGTGCCAGGTCTGTTCAGCGTGGAGATTCACACTGCCAAACAGTTGCGCCACTTCAGGTTTACCATCGGCACATATTTATCATCACTCCTGTCGTCATCTCCATTTCTGAACCAGGTTGCAGCGTTGAGTGACGAGGTCACTCGCGAGCTGGAACCCGTGTACAAGGACTTAATTGAAAACTTGCTACTGTACATACAGTCTGTGCATCAGATACACGAGTTGCAGCCTGTCAAATACTGGGGTGTCATGCTTGGGCTAGCCTATGATATTTTGGACAAGGTATTCATATTTTTGTTTGATTCTCTGAAGGTTTGTGACAGCGGTTTATTCATTATATGAATATTATATTAGATGCTGTCAATTGTCTGAGGTGTGTTTCATATACACAATGTTTCTGCAGTTTGCTGCACTCCCATCTTGAGGTAACTGGTTCTTGTTATACTGACACGTTTATAATTGTTGTGATGTGGCGCAGTGCAGCATTGTGTGTTACATACACAGTTTTGTTTCCACTCGTTTGTCCAGGTAAATGTTTTGCTTCCGAGCTCAATGTTTCTGTCAGTCGTCAGAGGCCTGCTCGATCATAAGTTGCCAACAGTTCGTCGCAAGGCCATGGAGCTCCTAAATACGCGATTACAACACCAAGGTTCTCTCTTCTCGTCTGGTAACCGCGAGGGACTTTTCTCACTACTGACACCATTAATGGCTCTGATGGGCGGCACTGGGGATGTCGCTGTCAGACCTGATCTGGATACTAATCAGCAGGTTGCCATGATATCCGTCAAGCTCCTGGCTCGATATCTTGCTCCCGAAAATCCATCACATTTCAAGGAGGTAAACTGTTATTTATTAACTTATTCAGATGACAGCTGTTGCTGTGCTTCGTGTCTCTGCAAAATGTCCGTTACTTCACTACTTTAAATTACTGCATTGGCATTATTTTGAGACGTTATGTATCTTTCCTTCTGCCAGTAAGTTGACGTTCGAAGATAGTGAAAAACTGGAGGAAAGTTCTTTCCTTTTGAAAGAACATGGTTCAGTAAACCCACACGTACACTCATCCTTTTTTTTCTCGCTAAAGATTCTGGTACGAGTGACAGGACTGATCCAGTCGGAGGCAGTCCAGAAGAACCTTCTTGCATCAGCTGTGTTGTGCATAGCAGAACTTGTCTCTGCTCTGAGGGCCCATGCTATCGGCAGTCTTAACCAGTTTATGCCGGCTCTCATGAACGTCTTACATGACCAGCAGGAGTTGGAAAGGCGAGTCGAATGCTTTTCATTTGTTCAGATCGTTATACATTTGCCATTAGAACTGATACTGCATCGCTGTTTGTGGGTGTTCTCTAGAGCAGCAGGGAGATAATTTCTGTGCAAGTTGAAGGTGTCATTGGATTTGTGTGGGCAAGTGTGAATGTCTGTATACTGTGACATTTTTACCAAATTAATGGCATTTGATTAATCTCAGCCAAAGACCACTGTGGGCGAATGGTATAAAAATGTTTGTTTGCATCATAGGTTTCATTAAGTGTACAGGCAATCCGTAAAGTTGTGTTTGTACTTCGTGTGTCTACAGAATAAAGAAGCTTTGTAGAAAATTCGTGTCAAGTATCAGTACTTGAAAAGGCGAAAGGAAGAAATCCAGAAACATAGATATAGAATGAAAGGTAATGAAATGGACCTTAAAAGAATATGATGTGAGGCTGTCGACTGAATTCTTCTAGGTCAGGGTAGGGAACAGTAGTGAACTCTTGTGAACATAGTAATGGACCTTCGCGTTCTATAAAATCCAACAAATTTCTTGATCAGCTGAGCAAATATCAGCTTTATGCAGTGAGTGCTGGCACTTGACGAACTGACTGTAAAATGTAAGTACTGTGCTGTAGCGATGTTTCAGTCTGATATCTTTGGCTGTTTTATTTGCAGTCCGAACTTGGTTCTGCTGAGTGTCATCACAGCCACCCTGAAGATTGTGGAAAGCTTGTCACAGTTCCTTAGTCCTTACCTGGACAAGTTGTTGCTTGAGGTTTCCTCTCAATCGGCCAAGTGGCAGGACAACGTAGACGACTCCAAAGTCACCCCAGTGTTACATAAGCTGAAAGCAATCAGGTAATGAGATCATTGAGGTGGTGATGTCCCGTGTATTTATTAATTTATGTGAATATTTCTGCTGCTAAGAGCTTCCTGTTTGATGTATCGCTTTCTGCACCTTGTTGCCGTCACTTTTGAGAGGTTCTTTCACTCTGCAGGTGAGAGGCTGGTTTGTTAAAGTTTAAACCGTAGAGGTAAATTTTAATTTCTTGCTATTGTTGTATGTTGCAGACAGAAGATATCCGGTACAGTTCCCGTCCGAGTGCTGACCCCGGCTGTCGGCCGCTGTTACTCCTGCCTTCTTGCACAGGGGCAGTATGCAGCCCTGGGCCCCCTGCTGTCTATTTTAGCAGATAGTTTTTCCACACTGAGCAGTTCAGAATTCACACAATTGATGATGGAACTCACAGCCTTCTTTATGTCAGCTCTGCAGTTCCGAGCAGATTGTTCCACCGGGGACGCTGATACACGTGTGTCACATGATGATATTGCACAAGCTGAGGGCCATGTAGTAAATGCTCTTGTTGCTCTGATACTCAAACTTTCTGAGTCAACATTCCGCCCGCTTTATTACACTTTGTTTCACTGGGCCACCAGTTCCGATGCACATAAAGATCGTGTCATAACATTTTACAGGTAAGTGATGTTTAATTTTGGGATAAATGTGATTTGTTTCTTGAAGCTCTGCAGATCTGTGTTTTTAATGCCAGGGATTGGTCTTTACTAATTTTCTGCTTATGTGCTTCACTTCTTTCTGTAGCGACTGTCTGATTTCCCTTGATTTAGTTATTTTACACTTTAGTACGAGTTACTTTCTGTTCACTAGTTCTTGTGTACGCTCACATATTTAAATTAATTTTAATATAGGATATATTCCCTCTTAATTATACTCTCCCCTCACCCTCTAATTTGTCCCCCCACTCACTCTCTTTTATTCCCTCATTTACCTGCGACCTGATTACAATGAAATGTTTCCTCTCGACACGTGTGAATCGTAACATCAAAGCGAGAAAATTAATTTAAATTCTCTCAGGCAATCTAATGACCGTGGCACCTACTGTTAGCGTATTGCCTGCTGTCTTCGTCATTGTATTAAACTGTGCTGGTAATTGCTTACAGTGTGATGAAACACGTGCACATGTTATGTGAGTGACACTCAGTCACCTTTCACACTGGTTTGGTCTGTTTTGCCAGGCTGTCCAGCAGTATTGCAGAATGTCTGAAGGGACTATTTGTGCTGTTTGCTGGACGACTGGTGCAGAATGCCTCGTCACTGCTGGATCATGCCAATGTCTGCAAGTCGAGCGAGAGCGAAGATGAAGGGCGAGCATATGACGAAACATCAGCCCAGCTGTTGCTGCAGTACGTGCTGCAGACGCTGTACAGGATATTCCAGCATGACAGTGGCCAGGGGTTTGTTAATAAAGAGCGTTTTGATGTACTGATGCAGCCGCTTGTCGACCAGGTAAAGTATAACGCGTGCTGTTAGATGTAAGGTTGGTTAAGCCATGCAGAGAAATTATCCTTGGATCCAGTGAGTCATGAACTCAGAACATTTGGCATGGGTGATCAGGTTTCAGTCTGTGAATACCAGGTCCCAGAAATTCTCATAGAAGCATTCAGGTGAGTTGTATTTCACTTTAATGCTTTTGGTCTTAAATGCCATCTAGACTGGAAATATTGAAACCACTGAGTTCACTCTGAAAGAATCATGAATCATGGAAACACGGTTTCTGTTAATGTGCCGATTGCAGTAGACGTTACGATTGAACTTTCAGCTGGAGAATACGCTGGGAGGCGTCGAGGCTCTGCAGTCCCGGGTGTCATCATTGCTTACGCCTTGCATATCTCAATTTGCTGTTGCTGTGGCTGACGATGCCTTGTGGAAACAACTCAATTACCAGATTCTGCTCAAGACTCGTCACAACCTAAAACAGGTCTCTCTCTCTCTCTAAACAATTTCATGTGCCTCTCAAATCAGTGAGAATTCGCTGTTTTGTTTAGCGTCTTCACCCTCTGTAAATTTATATAATCAGCAGAATTTAATTCCCTTTATTTTTGGTAGTTAATTTTGAGAAAAACCAAGAGAATCATCTTCTTACTTTCCACGTCAAGGACCTGAAATCGTGTCCACGTATTGCTCTTGTTTTGTACCGATCTCAGCATCTCCTTTTCTTATTTAAGGTTCGCCTTGCTGCCCTGGAGGTACTGTGTGAGATGGCCCGCAAACTTGGCGAAGACTTCCTTCCACTTTTGCCAGAAACTGTCCCATTTCTGGCTGAACTACTTGAGGACGAGGAAGAGGCAGTGGAGTCTGCTTGCCAGAAGGCAGTCCAGGAGTTGGAGGAGATTCTTGGTGAACCTCTCAAGAAGTATTTCTGATCTAATGGTTGAAGCCGTTGGTACATTCCTTTGGTTAAACAACTCAAACTAGTAATGGGGTATGAATACCTCGAGGCAGTCACAGTTTTTAGAACATGAAAATACTGGGTTGGCCCGTACTGCGCTGCCACCCATGAAGTCTGAGGAACCTGGACATGTTGCGCACAAACTGTTGACTGGTGAAAACCAATGAAGATGGCGGACATTAAGTTTGGGATTTGATTTATTGCCGTGCAGGAGGCATTCGTGATGGCGTGTTTGGCGATAAAGGAGTGAAACATCTTCACTGTGAGTACCGTCATAAAGTAAGAAATCAAATGTATCTGATGCTGGGGTTACCACTATTGACTGAGGGAGGTTTGTCCGACATTCCTGAATTGACAACCGACAGGTATTGAATGTGCTGTATGATTTTGACTCTTAATATGTGAATATAAGAACGTGACTAAAACACACTTAATGTTTAGACACTTTCTGCAGCGCCGTTTCATGTCTAGCGCGATGTACGTGCTGGTAAGATGAACTTAGGTCATCTCTGTCTATGCATTGTATTTTCTATTTTACGTCCTTGGATTTATTTTGTTCCAACAGCATTTTCACGCACTGCACTTCTTTACGCGTGCAACTTTAGTTTCTGTTCCTCCTTCCCATTTCATCCTTTGTCTTTTGTCTGCGATTACCCCTTGTTCCTTTACG